CTCTCCTAAAATACCGTGTCTACAGTGTAGCAGACACAGTACGTGGGACGGAGGGAGGGAGTACTACATAATAATAATAATAATAATAATAATAATAATAATAATAATAATTCAATTTCAAAGAATTTCATTGGTTGCTTTTGTGCTGCACAATTAGCAAAATATCAAATCAGAACAGATAAACGATGCCCAACGTTTTTAAATCAATGCGAAATCACAATTATTGCTCCCATGTATTTATTTATTTTTAAAAAAATGTAACATAATACTACTTTCATCCGACTGTAAATGTTTCATTTACTTTTTACGTGTTAATATTTAAATAATTATTATTATATTAAAATATAGTACAAATTAAAAAAAAAATTGCAAAAATTACTTCATCAGTATCCTATAGTATTAATAGAATGACGTTTATACAAAAAATTATATAAATATAAATATATTATTAATGTTAAGTATAATGACGCAAAGGGTAAATGTCACCCTTAAAAGCGGACGAAAAAAGTATAATATTGTGCGATACGGGGGTGTGTTTGTTTGATATAATATATTTTTATTGAAGAAAAAAAGTAAATTGAATAGTATAATTCGCATGAAAAATTATTGGTTTATGGAGAAAACTAAACAAGCTAGTTTGTTCTTTTATATTTAAAATTCAAATAATATTATCTATTCAGCACAAATTTTAATAAAAATAAATAATTATTTTTATAAAATATTATATTGAAATATTATAAACATAAAAGTTTAAATCAACAATTTATTTCAAATTTACTATTCCGGATAATTTATTACACTCTCTATTCTGGTAAGAGTGTTCAAAACCTTTGGAGACATAAATTAAGAAAACAATATATTAATATAATTTTTGTCATTTTTATAAGGATAAAATTAAAAAAGAAATATAATTATGAAATATTAGGAATATAATTTTTTAGTATACATTTACAAAATAGAGGGAGTATTATTACTCAAAAAGTTATATTTAATAATTATTTTATATAAAGTATTAAATCAAAACTGTATTTTCTATTTAAAGTAATTATTATTATATTTTATTTTATTTTTTTGCCCTCAGATAAATTTATATACAATTTATTTATATTAATTATTCTATCTATCTATATTTTATTATATTTATTTTAACAATAAAAATCAATTAATCATTACTTTTTTTTAGTTACTTTAATATTCTTTTTATAAATTATTTAATAAATTTTTTATAATATCCTATATTATTTTTTACCTATTCAATCCAGCGTTATTATTTTTTAGTCTTTATGTTCAATCAAATTTACATAATTTTGTTAGATGAGAAAGTATTTTATTTTTTTCTAATACAATATTCTATTATATTCATCTATATGTATCTATTTTTATTTTAGTTTTTTACGTAAATTTTTTAATATTAATTCTATATATAGGACAAAGATGTATGAATAGTCAAATTTTTCTTTTTAGAAAAAAAAAAAATTAGTTAAAATAATAAAGTTGGCAATGTTGAAATAATATATAAATTGTAAAAATATACTCTCAAGCGAATGGAATATTAATTCTGAACAAAAGGAATATTAAAAATATAATATAAACCAAAATTTATATAAATTCAAATTTAAATTCAAATATAAATTAAATTAATCCGAAACTTTTATGGATATCTTACCTCTTGGGAAAGATGTGGGCCATATGTATAGATGCAACATATATCGAATTTAAATACATACCACTTGAAAACGAATATGATGTCAACCGACCAAATTATTAATAATAATAATACTCCCTCGATTCCGTTGAAATATTGTTATTTTTCATTTTTTTCGTCTTAAAATAAGATTATTATTTTTTAATTTAGTAATTGTACTACTTACCTAATATAATAAATACTCTTCTAATTTACAATATTACACAAATATCATTATTTTTATATTACACTATACTAATAGGAGTATTTTTATCTTTTACTACAATTCAATGTAATACTAATATTAAAAAATTTACATTAAAAAAAAGCAAACGTCACGGATTTGGTGACATTGAATATATGCATACACATATTATATATGTTTAATTAGCAATTGACGCATTTTTAATTGGGGTAAAATTTACTAAAATAAAAAAGCATAACTAATAAGTATAAATTAAATTAATTAAGTAAATAACATATAATATCATAAATTATATAAGGCTCTTTCAAAACCAATTTTTTTTATGTCTCTTAAAAAAAATATATTTTTATCTGTATTTAAAATTTCACCATTATTATACAATTAGTTTATGTTAATTATAAATAAATATATTTTTTTATTTACTTGTATTATAGAAAATTTTATTCTCTACAAAATAATATTTATATCACATTGCATATATTTTTTATTACCATATTATTTTTAAAATATTTAAATATATTCTAATTTTTTTAATCATATATATTAAATTTATTAATAAATTATTAATACTATTCATTACATGAAAAAAAATAATAATAATATCATAATTCACAATTACATTGACACTGAAAGAATATAAATAAATTAATTAAATAGGGATGTACACCCGCTGGTTATTTGATCCAAATATAATGATACATTATATATATATATATATATATCAATCAATCAATTCAGTAAATAATTATTGGATTTTTTTTTAGACTAAAACGAATGATAGATATAAGGTCAATTTTATTTCAACATGATCAAATACCATACCTTGTGTGTGTGTGTTTTTTAATTATATATCAACAATTAAATTAGGTACAAAATAGTTCCTATTTCCTCCATCATTAAGTATATACATTTGTCTTTTTATTTTTCCTAAAAAAAAAAAAAAAAGATTTAAAATCCCCGTATATGATGTAATATTTAATAATAAAAAATCAGTAAGGGTATGTTTGTTTGTGGGTTTTAATTTTTGGGTTTGAATTTTTTAACAGTAAAAATTTCAATTTGAATAATTGTTTGATGTGATATAAACAGAGGTTGATACAATGTAAAATTTACAGTATAATATAAAAAAAAAATTATTTAATTGATATTTTTTAAAGAAAAAAAATATAAATAGTAAAAACATATCATAAAACCGACAAAAGAACACAAGGTAATAGTATAGTGTCAACACACATCCAACCGGTAACCAAACACACTAGTTAAATCAATGATGTAGTAGTGTGTTTGTTTGGGGATTGGATTTAATTTCCACTATTCATCCCATTTCCCCTCCCCCAAAACATCAAGTCAAACACCTATTTTTCATTTTTTATATAATACTAAAAATCAATTTTACATTCAAAACATCTATTTATATCACATCATACAACTATTCAAATTCAAAATTTTTACTATTCAAATCCCAACTCAAAATCCAAACCTCCAAACAAACACACTCGGACCAACTCCAAGTTAAAGATATCGACCATGCCTAATTCTGCCTAACAAACCCATAATCTTATACATAAACACCCACACACAATGATCACTTCCACAAACAAAATTATATCTAACCATAAAAACACTTATTTGTTCATCTAAGAACGTAAAGTGATATATAAATATATCCAAATTTATTAGATTATATTACATCCCAAATTTGTTCAACTCTTATTCAACTAAATAGGTTCTTGGTCAATTAAACCAACCTAATCTGCCATATAAATATATATATATATATATATATAGTGAAGAGAAATATAAAAACAAATTTAACTTGTAATTATAGTGAAAGAAGAAATCAATGTGATATACTAATCAATCTTAAGTGATGCCAAAATATATGTCAGGAAATCAAAAACCATATGCAACATTTGAATCACAAACAACTAAGTAAAGTAATAAATAAATAAATAGAAGAAAATGTATTTTTCTTAGTCTCGTACCGTACCGTACCTTCTTAATTATTTTTAAATCATAATTAGACCTATATTGGATTAGTCCCGCAATTAAAAAAATTTGACATAAAAGATCCTCAAACACCGGAATAATTGGCATGGCATGCCGGAGACATGGATATAGACAGCGTTTGAGGATCATTTCTGGCAAATTTTTTATTCGTGGGACTAATCCAATTCAATGTCAAATTATGTTTTGAATTGATTCTCAAATAAATGTCTACGTGTCATCCATGCAATCTCCGGTGCCAAATAATTTTTTGTGCCATTTCTTTTTTAAAAATTTTGGAACTAATTTAATACAAAATTTATGTATTCTAAAATTATACTGTACAAGACTTAAAATTAAAAAAAAAAAAAATGTATTTTCCCATAAATGAATGAAGCCAGATTTCAATCTCTTCACCAACTCTGATTCTTAATATTAATTTCTATAAACTAATATATGACATGTATATATTTAGAAGGATGCATGGATGTAGTGCATGGAGCATGGTAGTGCAAAATAGAAATGAAATGAAATCAAGAACTTACATTAGTGGATCAAATTTGCAAGCAGCAACCAATAATATCCAGCTGCTGAGTAGTGAGTCCCTTTCTCTCTCTCTCTCTCTCTCTCTGCCTGTCTTTGTCCCAGTCTCAGTCTCTGTCCGTCTCTCTCTCTCTCTCTCTCTCTCTCTCTAGGCCTGAAAAACCAAAAATCAAACAATGAGTATAGAATGGTTAAATCCATCCAGCTGTGATTGAGGGATACCCCCAAACTTCCCCACATCTCTTTCCCCTTCTTTAATATCAGTTTGTCTGATGCATCAAACTTTAAAGATGAATAGCAGATACAATTGAAATTTAAACAAAATAAACCATAAATAATTGGCAATTGAAAAAAATATAAAAATAAAATAGCAGCTGCTGTGCTGATGTGTGTGTATACTTCTGTCATTCACATCATCATCATGCCCTTAATTAGCTTAGCTGTCCCTAAATCCTCCTCTTCCACACAATCATTAAGAGTACAGTCAGCACACACATCCCCTGTCTCTATATCCTCAACCCCCCCCCCCCCCAACTATTCTTCATTCATTTCTATGCACTATATAAACTAACACAACCTTTGCCCAAATTTCTTATCCACCACAAGTAAAGAAAATAAAAATAATACCTTAGACATGAAGAAGTTCTTGGTATTCTTCTTGTTAGGCCTGGTTGTGGCTGTATCCGGCGGAGATTTCAACCAGCAGTTCGACATTACATGGGGCGGGGGGCGGGGGAAGATTGTAGGAAATGGACAGGCCATGGCGCTGACATTGGATAGGACTTCAGGGTCGGGATTTAGATCCAAGAACCAATACTTGTATGGAAAAATCGACATGCAGCTTAAGCTTGTTCCTGGAAATTCTGCCGGCACGGTTACAACATATTATGTACGTCTATTATTGTATTGTATACATGCATGCATATAAAAATGTTCATTTTCTGTCAAATGATTGTTAACATGTTTAATATCTTGCAGCTATCTTCTTTGGGAGCTACTCATGATGAGATCGACTATGAATTCCTCGGCAACATAAGTGGACAACCTTACACTCTACATACGAATATATATGCGCAAGGCAAAGGCAACAGAGAGCAACAGTTTCATCTATGGTTCGACCCAACTAAGGATTATCACACTTACTCTATCTTATGGAACCCTTTAAGCATCATGTAAGCATATAATATACTCAATGTTTAAGCATTCAATAAACCAATCTCTAGATCGATCACAATCATAATGTCTATGCCATAACATAACTCATATAGAACTTAAACATGTTTCGATGTGGACAGATTCTCCGTAGATGGAATTCCAATCAGGCAATACAAGAATCTAGAATCAAAAGGGATACCTTACCCCAAAAATCAGCCCATGTGGATCTATGGCAGCCTGTGGGATGCAGAGGACTGGGCGACGAGGGGGGGGCTCGTCAAAACTGATTGGTCACAAGCTCCATTCACAGCTTCGTTTGCAAACTTCAATGCTCAGGCTTGCTCGGGTTCCTGCGCTATCAATCCATCAGCAAATTCATGGTTCTCACAGTCACTTGGCACTGCTGGACTAGCAAAATTAAAATGGGTGCAGAGTAACTACATGATCTACAACTACTGCACTGATTATAAGCGCTTTCCGCAAGGGTTTCCTCCCGAATGCTCCATTGCATAAGATACATACACAACAAGTATACATACAAAAAGAATTTTCAGATGCTTTCAAGTTTTCCCCAATTTCTATTTAATTTTTTGCTGCTGTTTCCTGTTTCTCATTCTGGTTGCCCTCTTGAACCATGAATATGGACCTGTTCCGGGCATGCATTTGTATACTTTTTACTCCTTGTATTCTTTAATAATGTTTGGGATATGTAACTGTATGTAAAGTTGTATGCAGTGAAATTTGAATAAGAGATATTGCTATGAATTTGAGTGAATATACCATTTCTCTAAGTATACTTTAAACATAAGCTCTAAGCTAACTACATAAATGAGTGCATAAGCTTCAAAAGTTTACAGATTAAAAACAACATTTGAAGAAAGAAATTGGTTTATCTAACTCAGAATTAACTACAACTCAATACTACAGATTGATAAAACATATTCTGGACAAAAAAGTATTTATGAACTAGCCCAAAAGGTCAAAGAATCTTGGCTAGAAATGAATCCAAGAGGCAAATTATAAGTATACCTAGTAAGTATTTAAACTTAATCTGCATCACTGATTACAGTAGATCACATTCAAGTTTGAAGAATTAGCAGAAAGCCCTTGTCCTTTACTCTTTAACCCACCCATTATCGCCCTTCATGATCATAATCAACAGAAATGGAAATGGCCGCAAGATTGCCTAACGAGTTGCTCCTTTAAAAGAAGAAGCCATGGATCTCTCTCTATCAAGGAAATCATGATAATAATAAATTTCTACAAGCATTCATCTCTAACCACAACACAAGAAATATTTAGATCTAATCAGCATCGAAAGGAACTACTGTGAAGGAAAAACAGAAAACTTATGGCAACATTTCGAGCTGCCGAACAAAGTATATCTCATTTAAATGATTAAGAAAAACCAAAAGTGTAAGTGAACAACCTCAAGAATTCAGAAAACAAAGAACAAATCAAATCGCATATGTCCTCTTCGTTAGATAGCCGTCTGCATCAACAGCTACCAAGTTTAAATAGAGACACAAATGCCAAAAAAATACCAAATAATCTACAGGTGTGACAAGCTAAGCAGATCAAATACAGAATATAAAGACCCTCGGAGCACAAATATACAGAGCTGAATCCAAACGCAGCCCGAGTGGCTTGAGATCTTTCAAGATTAAAGCACCACAGTAGATGAGCCTCACAATGAGGAGGTCATTTCCACCGTAGGGCAAGATAAAATACAAAGATCGGAGACAAAATTATTTTGAAAAACGTACAATCGCAACAGAGATTCACATACAAGCTTGAACAACATGGCCTACATAAGATTTTTCAACAAAGGCCTACACAAAGGAGATTACTGGTACATTCTTCACGCCATTGAGGTCAGAACCGCTTTCTTTTGCCATTCGAACCTTTTTATAATCTCATCGGCAATTCAGTGTACGACCTCATGCTAACTATCCATTCCCGATTTTCACCTGTGATTCTAGTAATCCTTCAGCGACCAAAAGCCCATTGTCAGTTGGCCGGCGGCGCCATCACATTCTCCACCAAACACTGAAGTTACCGAAATTCAACTGGCGACCAGGCAGACAGAGATTGGATGGAAAAGTCTCTGTAACAGAGCCCAATAGGCAGGGAGGGGGGAGGGAGAAGCCGATTCCCTCTCCTTTCCTCTGTCTTCGACGTCATATTCAATCCCATAAATAAAAAAAAAAAAAAAAAAAAAAAAAAAAAAAAAAAAAACAACTAATTTACGAACATTTTAATTTATCTTTCTCAAGATCATTACATTATTTATTTTTTAAATAATTTAAATAATATTCTTTCCATTTTTTTCAATCGCTTCAATCACTTTCGTTTTATATAAAAAAAAATTATACATTTTAATGTTATTTAAAAAATTTAAATTTATAATTTTTTTAATTTTAATTAGACTATTTAGTTATTTTAATATTAATCCAAATATATTTTTATTATACTATAATTATTTTCATTAATAAAAGGACATTGTAGCTAGGATCCAATCCTCGAGCGAGAGATGTCTCACCCCTTGATTTATAAGGGTTTGACGGTGCCTGGTATTTGTTATTCATTAGTGTATGAGCATTGGTTTCTATCAGTATAGGCCTTAGTAGTTGTGCGTTGATTTCTTTCATTACAGGTCTTCACATGTTCATAATGATTCTAGAATCTTGCAATATATCGGATGATTTGATTTAGGTCTTTACATGTTCACACTGGTTTTGGAATCTTGCCTAATGTCAGAGGTTATTGGTTGAGATGACCATATTTAATGTTTATGTTATCTCCACGATGTTCTTACTTAAGATTAGCATCTCTTTTGATATCTGCAATTTTTTAATACCGTTGATCACTATAATATTCTTCGTAATCAATACTTACCCCAATTTTTAGATAATCTAAGAATGCAAGATCGAGTAGAAGAAACAATCTGGATGAAGTTCATGATCCACTTGTTTTGTTTGAAACAAATATTACGCTTCAAATAGTTCCTTAAAACTCAATTCTCTGCACTGAAAGTAGGCTAAATTTGGCTATACAACAACATGCTTTCCCGAGCCACTTTAATATGGGTTTCAGTCGACATTTTTCACCAATGCAGTACTATCCCCAGCATAATGATCCAAAATTTTCTCAAATACGTGGAATTTTGTACCTTCTGGAGCACCACCTCAGGTTCCTTATCATGATGCGCAATTCTCACAGGCCAATACACCACCCTTCAATCTACATCGTCGGTTGTTTCAAAGTGAAACTCCTTACCAAAGCAACCCTACAGTAAGGCCGACTGAGAGTAACCAACGGCAAGTAAGAACTTGAAAATGATGAGGATATAGAGCTAACTACAACATGGTATAATTTGACAACGGATGCACATGTAGGAGTAAGTTATAAAAAATTAAAGATGTGGGAGCGTTTGCACGAGAACTTTGCGATGCTTATGGAAGATAATTATGAGGTCAGAATAGCTAAAAATAAAAGAACTATGGATGCATGTGAGAATCCGTGAACGGAACTCAGATCACAATGCACTAAGTGGACCAAAATAAGAGTATGAACCGAGCGGCATTATCGAAGCGGCTGGAGTACATCTGATTTTGTAAGTTCATTTTATTCTTCTTGAAGTTGTGGTATTTCCAAAATACAATAATTTTCTAACGGTGACACTCTTTTAATAGCTAGGAACACTTATGTCATGCCATTTTTTAGGAAAAATTACAATACAAAGTTCAAACACGAGGCTTGCTGGAATATTATAAAAGATCAACCAAAGTGGTTGGAATTTGTAAATGGAAAGAAGAGCCAACCAAACGAGCGGTCAAGTAATTACAAGAATGCTATCAATGGGGAGACAAGTTTGGTGCAAAGATCATTTGACGTGCAGACACCAGTGACCCCAATCGACACCTCCATTGGGGTTGCACATGTAGATGTAGATTCTTCGGGTGGACAAGCTGGTCACAATGAACTAAGTAGGTCTGTTGCAATAGATTCGAGCATCCAATGGGTGTTAAGAAAGCAAAAGCCAGTACAAAGTAACTAACCAACGGCAACGTAAAATCAGACAATATGAAGAGTCTCAAGCTTCATTCATTCGGATGATAACTGCAAGTTTTATAGCACTTGATTTGTCGCACAATGACAGATGGTCTAGAATAGAGGTGGATGAATTAAGAAAAGAGAAAAAGATGGACGAGTGCTACGAACGCATGTCCGAAAGAGCAAAGAATAAGGTAATTATAACTGGTTTGACATTAAATTCATTGTTTTAGTAACTTTTAATATTTTTTACTTGACATTTTTTAATATATATCGTAGCATACTCTTGAGATGACAAGGGAAAGAAGTCTACTAACTAAGAAGATGATGAACCTTGGTGAGAAGATTATACATGCATTACGCAAACTTGATGAATTTGGTCCAGAAGTTCTCTTAGCTGAAGTTTCTTGAAAAGACTATGTGATACAATAAGAACAGTTGGAATACTAAATTGACACTACAATGGTACATTTTCTTTCTTTTTACAGTTTCATATTGTTACCAAAGTAATTACAGATATGTTGTGATATAAAATATTAATCATGTCCAGAAATCAAGGTAGCAATTGTGAGTATCAAGATATCGGATTCCCTATCCGCGGATGTCGATGAATCAAGTGCTTCTCCAAATGGAGGTAAAAAAATACATAGACAGAATGAAAGTCTTAAGAACATTAGCTTTTAATTGCAACGTCAACAGCCTGTTTGGTCTTTCTTGCAAAATTAATCAACCATATTATGGACGTTTGTACCATGTATTTTAAATAGGTTGTGTGATATTCTTGGGGCAAATATTATCTTATTTTTGGTTTTTTTCATCATGGTAGAAACAAACACAGTGTGAAAATATTTTCTAAACTGCATTTTTGTTTAACGTGATTCGCTTTAATACATTGCTTTGTTGTGGGGTATGCAAAAGTCTCTTGAATATAAGTGAAAGTTGACCTCATATATATATATTTAATATATGGTGTGGACGACAACGAATGGGGATGGTGAAACTCGAACACGAGACCTATGGCTCTGATACTATGTTAGATGATGCAAATAACCGCCTCACCTAAAAGCTAACATTGTATTAGAGCCACAAATTTCGTGTTCGAATCCCACCACCCCTATTGGTTGTCGTACACATGTAAGTTTCATACGGTGATGTATATCCCCTTTGCACGTGAGGGAACATATTGGTTTACTCTCATATATAGATAAATAAATAAGTTATGTGTAACCCTAAAAACTTAAGTTTTTAGGTGAGACGAACATTTATATCATATAACACATAAATTACATCACAATAGTATAATATCAAGTGCAAATATGCAAGTAAAATAAGAATTGTTTAGCTGATTGAAAACAATATTTGTTGCATTCAAAGCATGATTTTCCTTAGAAATATTCGTTGTATACTAAATTTAACCACATTATACAACTTTACTAAAAAAAGTAGCATAGATAGCCAAATTAAACTTATTTAAACATCTGGATACTCAAATGTGTGATGTTTTCTCTGCCTAAGTTGGTATTAAGGTATCTTAGATTTCTTTACTACGATGCAATATAAAACATTCTTCAGTGGTTACAACATTTTGCATGAATATTGGTTATTTAGTTACCATGTTTAACAATTGAATAATCCTTAACTTTAAATTGTTTTGTCATCTTTAGAATTATTGAGTTGACATTCTTTATTCAAGGTCAACATTCTTGTTTTGACTTTCATTTCATTAAATATTTTTTTAAAAAATAAAATTATAGTCAAATTTGTTATTTAAATAATAATATAGAAATCATCTATGATCTAATGAGATAAAGATATTGAATGCCAAAAGATAAACTAATTTAAATAAGTAATACATTAACAAAAGCCAAAAGAATATTTTGTTACCATCCGAGCAATCCTTGTTGCAAAAAAACAAGCAAAATTATTAGCACTTATAAAGATATATTACAAAAAGACCAATAAGAATATGGACATAGACATGGAGCCTATTATTAACTACATTAAAATTTATATACGGCTGATGACCATTGGATTCAACTAAGAGTATTTTGAAAATGTCCTAATTGATCTTTCTCTAAGTAATCAAATAATTGGGTGATGGTCAACATCTTTGCATTGTTTGGATAGAAAATTCAATGTTTTAAAGAGCATGTGTCTATGATGTTCTCTCATACCAGTAAGCATGCTCAGGTTTCTCAAAGGTCAATCCGTCCATATTTATATTTCATTATTCCAAGAGTCGGAACACTTTTAGTCACCTTGGTTCAGTCATTTCCATTACGTGATCTGAACACTTTTTTGCATCCTCAACCAAGTATTATTTTTTACTCAGATTTTTGTACTCTTCTTAGGATATCGGATTTTTTCTATAGGGATCACTATGGATAATGCCAAAGTAGCTAATATTCGGGATTATCACACCCCAACTTCTTTTATTGAAGTTCACATATGGTTTTTCTTATTCTATCGACATTTTATCTGTCACTTCAACACTATCACAACTCCAATCACTAATTGTATGTATGGTAAGGCTTTTGTCTGGATGTTTGAGGTTGTAGTTGCCTTTTTAGACATAAAGTGTTACTTTATAAATTTGGGCACTTTTTGTCTTCTCGAAATTTCTCCATCCTATGTTGAGATGTCTCAAAGGTTAGCATGGCATAGTCTTGACATAGGTTGGTCATCCGATGGCCTACTTTAGTGAATAGCTCACCAATGTGCGATCTTGCTATAACCGTTATGATGAGGAATTTTATGCAGTTGTTTGCACCACTTGACATTAAAGGTATTTTTTTCTTCTAGTGGAAATTTATTCTTCACACCATCCATAAAGCCTGGTAATATCATTTCTTCCAAGACAGTCTTCCGGCTAGTTATGCCAAATGGTCAACATTTTTGTAGCAATTCGCTTTTATTATTTGATGACAGTCTAGTTTTAAGAATTGAGTAGCCAATGCGTTGAGTTGCCATCATTTATTGCTATAAGAGTTGTATGTGGGTGTGGTTAGTTTTGACTCATTCCATCAACTCTATTCCACGGACAACTTCATTGGCCCTATTGTTGTCTATCATACATGGTCATTATAAAGACTTTTCTCAGATTGATGGCCTTTTGTTTTATAGCATCCGTCTTTGCTTGCATTTATGTATTCTACACTAAACAATAATATCCAAAATGCATGATCTCGGTCATGTGAGCTGCGCATTGAGAGTCCCGTTACTTCATCGAGAGTCTTGTTATTTCTGATTCCATGGAGAGTGATTTTTTACTCCATCGAAGGTGTCGTTATTTACGACTCCATAGAGAGTCCTATTATTTCCGATTCCGTGGAGAGTCCTATTTTTTTTCGATTTCTAATTCAGTTGAGAACATCGTTTCTGGCTTTGATACGGTGGAACAGTGGTGGCAACGGCAGACAAGCAATTGTTATTTTTATTTACGTCTTTTGCTTTGTATTTAACTTTCTTATCAAATTCAAGTTGGTTTATGTTATACCATTTGAATTTGAGGGTGGATATTAAGATATTTTAGATATTCAGTTTTAGATATAATACATTTTGATTTAGATTTGGTCTTATCTTATTTAGATTTGAGTCTATCGAGTCTGTATATTATGTCTATTTATAGGTCTCTATTTTCGTTATGAATAACAATGCAAAGTCTTCCTAAATTATTTCTCACATAAAGAAACAAGTAAAAAGAAAAAGGGTGAGCGGAAGTATGGAATAGATTATCCAATATTGCGTACGTTCAAGAGCACGGGGGAGTGTGGCCGCGACATTAGTGAATGGAAGACAATTACAAAATAGACGTTACATTATACTTTGTAATTGTTAAATTGAAATATTGAAATATATTCAAATTATATATATATATATACAATATATATATCCATATGGAAACCATAAAATATTGAAATATGGATTTTTTATTTTTTATTTTTGATATTTTGATATATACAAAAAAATATCCAAAATCTATATAGGTGCGATACCGTATTAAAATTTATGATATACTGAAATTTTGATAATTGTCATTTTTTTTATATGATTTGTGTGGTCTTTCGGTATTTCATATATATTTCCACCCTTAATACTACTTTTAATTTCTCTTTTAATAAGAATAGGTGACCTCCATATTCTTAAATAGTAATTTTTAGAATATTTTGTGTAACTGAGTTAAAAATAGTAAAAAAGTCAGCATTTAATTTGATATTTTTGTGTGAAATAAGTATTTAATATGCTATTTTCTTTTAAAAAAACATATATTGTTAAATAGTAATAAAACTTTTATATATATATATATATATATAAACAAAGTCTTAAATACACACAAAAACAAGAAAAAAAAAAACTAAATAAAACTAAAAGTTTTACTTAACTCTTTTATTGAATGTTGTTTAATTTCACTTGTTCATTCTTAATTAAAATTTATTACTAGCATTTTAACCTTCTTAAATCCCAAAATAATATATTTGATGGTATAACAAATTATTTTGTTTATTTGTCTATCCATTTTATATAGTTCTGATGAGGTTCTTATAGTTCTAATCCGGAACCGACAGATCTAGATATTTATGTATTGTTACATATTTTAGTTTATCTCTTTAGTATTATAATTTTATTGCTAATTAGATGACTTTTTATATTTAAATTAATAATACTTTTCAATTATATTTAATTGCTCAAATGTTTTTTAAATAGTGGTGGAATTTATGCATTGACACAAACCTGAATTCGTACTTAATTTATATAAGCATACTAGATACAAGTACAACAAATACAACACCACCCACCAAGTTACAAGCACAATTTCCATAAAAAAATTATAAATAATTGCGTGCATGTCAATAGTTGCTAAAAGACAAAATTAAATCTTGTATTTTACTATAATCTACATTCGCAGCAACGCACATCTTCCAATTGGAGATTAATCCATTTGATATATATAATTGTTAAATGATAAATGTTGAACATGTAAGATTTTCATGGTATAGTAATAATATTTTCAACCACTAAAGCACATGTAATAATAAAAGTAACATAATCATTTTTACGGATATATTATTAATTATTTACTAATTATATCGATTCAAAAATCCCATATACATGACAGAATACCGGGGGACGAAGAGAGCAATAATAAACAAACAGAAAAACCATCATTTTATAAAACCTAAAGATGAAGTTGAAGAAGAACAAAAACAAAGATAAGTACTCGAATAATTGATTGATGCAGGAAATTAAACAAAGCAATGCAAAACATAGGTAAGTTTCTTACTCCAATAATCTCGAATTATTCCCTTCTCAAGTAAACGTTGACATCCGGAGAAGCTTTGTCGAACCCACGAACCCTGTTCATCTTCGGAGCGATGTCACGCAACCTAAAACCCAAGCTAAATGATATCAAAAGCCTCCGCAATCTTGGGGTGTTTGCAAGCAAACATCTCGCAAGATACATTTCAGTTTCATTTCCTATAAAATTATCAATGTCTACATGATATAATTTTTGGCAACCTCCATCACATAAAAAGACTTCATCAACATTGGCCACATCTGCCTCTTCTCTTTGTGACGGTCTCTGACAAAAGAAAACCGAGTTAAAGAAAAAACAGTCGAGCCAAGTGCTGAAAGAACCAAAAAGTCACTGCGAGTAGCTTTTACCACAATAAAAACAGACAATCTTCCGAGATTCGGACATGGGCCAGTGAGCTGCATCACCACTCGAACTTGCTCGGTGACTGGCCATATACGTATCTTCAGAAACACCAAATTATGGAATATAGTAAACGACAGCTGCCTTTGCAGATCTGGAACCCTGGAGAGATACTGAAGCAAACGAGGAAATAGTAAATAAATCTATGTAAGTGTTGCAAATGATTTATGTAATAACAGGCAAGGTTAATCAACTTTACCTCAATGAACCATTCTCTCAGTCGATGAAAAAATTCTCTACAGAAAAGCTCCTTGATGACTTTCATAACGGCCCGATTCAAATCTTTGGGTGTTTGAGCCTTCACAAAAGAAATGCTGTCATTGATAACTAACTGAAAGGCCTCAGCTGGCACATGAAACTCATTACCCTCCGACTTATTGCAGATATATATAAATTTGGAAAGGTTGGGAACATTCTGGAGAACAACCGAGCATTTTTCCATCCCCCAGCAATCACACATTATGAGTTCTGTTAATGTGAATGAAGAAACAGATATAATGCCAGTAAAGCTAATATCACAGAGGATCATAGACAGCTTTTCCACTACAGGAAAGCATGACAGCTGATCCATAAATGATGCGGGAATCTTAGCGAACTTCAGGATTAACTTCCTGAGGTTGGGGAGTACGAATGTGTCAGGCCAAGTCAGCACAAGATCCGTAACTGCCAGTTCTAATTTAAGGAGATGCTGGCATGAAAATATGGTCTGCGGAAGCACACGGATTTCTTCTTCAATCATGGATCCAAAAAGAACAAGCTTTCTGGAATTATGCGTTGCAGCAAATTGAATCCACTCATTCCTAATAGAAATGTCACAAAGAGTTAAGGGCCATAGACGGATTTCAAAATTTTCAACGGTTGACTCATCATGACGAGCAAGTGTGTTGTTGATGAATTCTTCATAACAATCCTTAACACTCTGCATCTCATCGTGCCTGGAATAGTCAAAGTTAAGGATAGGAATTGATCGCCATGCCTGCCTCAAAGATCTGGACATTAAGCCCACTTTCGCCACATCAGTTGTAGGGAGTAGGGACAAGATATTTCTCTGAATTTCTTGGGGCAATGGGCCAAGTCTATCATCAGTTTCCATGATTAGAGGCTTATCTGATGAAGACTCGCAATCAATTTCGACCCGCTTTGGATTTGTACTTCCTGCCACTGGTTCTGACGATTATCTACAAATGATAAGCCCATTCAGTATCAAAATAAAGCAGAAATATTGGTTAACTGATGGTGTTATAATGCAAATGCCAAAGCAAAATGCACCCAAACTTTTAGCATCCCTAAACAAATTAGCCATATGATCACTCTGTAGCTTGCTTACAGCAAAACAATGTTCTAAACCAGGATCTGAAGTACCAATCAATTGAAAAATCACATAATACAGACTTTTATCATAGAGTAAGCTTGATTTCTGAAAGAAATGACATATACAGCGAGGGTCCATATAACCTTGGCTAGAAAAGTTTAACTTCAGTTACAACAGCTTTAAGATATGTGATTTTGACCACAAAGATATCAAGAACTTAAAAACAATAGTGATTGAATATGACAAAAAAGGAAGTGCTGCCATTTGCTGAAAACTGAATATTCATGTACAGGCATTGGCAACATCCAAGGTTGACAAATAAACATTGTTTGTTATGTACAATATTTGTCTTTGATGTAAAGACATCTTGCTGCTCTCATTCAAAAGCTCTAACACTTGTTTCCAAAACTTTCAAAATCTTAAGGAACTGTTCTACAATAAAATGAAAAAATATCCATCATCTATGGGAGTAACTGTCACAATCAACCTTCACATTCCCCTCATTCACCATTAACTGGAATTTCTCTTAGCCGGTTAGTGATCACAGGTACGTTTCTTTATCAATAAAATTTCACCCCGTAAAATACATATTTATTTCAGTTAGCAGTTCTCCACACAACTATGATAAATCCACATAGCATAAATGATCAAATGTTAACTTTGAACATAATGTGTCCAACTAATGAAGAATTAGAACCTAAAGTAGTCACTCCATTTGGTTTGCACAAGAAAAATATATTCAGGTTCTACAATACTCAAGAATAATAAGAAATAATGCATTAACACTCCTGGTTAGTAGCTAAGAGGTTTGGCAAAGCCACTGGAATCCACTAAATGAGTAAATTTCAGATGCCAGCTTCTTCCGTCCCTTTAATAGCAGAAGAGTGAAACTGGTTCTTGCAATTTTGCTCATTTAGATTAGAAACCTTCGATATTCTATTAACCTTTTTATATTGTAACGAGCTAAGAATTTCATTTCATGCAGACAACTTGTATACGTGTAAGAAAAGATTAATCTGTAGCAGAGGATTAGTCCCATCCTAATGCACTTAATTTTGTGCTTACATCGTCCGGGATAGTTATGTCATTATTCATTTTTTGTTGTCCATTAAACTTATGCATAATTCATTTATAATAAACAACTTTACCCGCCCACATTTTTATTACCCCTAGTTTAACAAATAATAATTAATTTGCTGCTATTTCTCATACTTTATCTCACAACCATTTTATCCATTCTTTAATAAATTTTTCATAATATTCCACTTCATTTTTTACTTATCCTACTTTTATATTAAAATATTATTATTTCTTAGTCTCCATGTCCAAGCAAAGTGACATAATCATCCCGGACGGAAAGTATTAAATTACTTCAATTTATTTTATTGATTGGTTAATTGATTTTGTGTATGTATTATCCTTTATCTTTCATTTACAAAGATGCAAATGTGATGCTGCACTTTACTAAAAGCATACCTCTTCTAATCACGTTCTACTTTTATAATTGAATGTCTAAATAAGACTAAATTATCCATTAATACACAATGTATATGCAATATATATAATATATATACTATTTTCTCAGAAAAAGTTAATATTCAACCAATTATATTATATTTTATTACCAACACAATTTCTCATACTTCACAGTTAAAAAATTCCTCAAAAAAATTAAAATAAAATAGATAAAGGGATTATTCACATGTTTATTTTTCCAATGATGATTATTTTAATCCCTTATAATATTAAAAAGATGGATCTAGTATTAGCAAACCTTTCAATAATCCTTCCATGACTCCATTGGAGGCAACAAGTCAGTCAGAAACCTGGAATCGGTTTACCTATCTCTCACCCCAAGAATTTGTTGAATTGTGAGTCAAATAACTGTGTTTTTTATGCAAGAAATCATACAACCCAAAACATGAATGCCCTCTCAAACAATTGCGAGTTATAATAGCCGACAAAGACGAAGAAGTCTTAGATCTTCAACTGTTTGAATTTATGTACCTACATAGCATGAAGATTGGATGGGAGAGCAGGTAGATGCATCGATAGAAGAGGGGACCTTAGTGTTTTTGTTTGTAGAGGCTTTCCGAGCCAATGGACTACGTGACTGCATGGAGTTGTGTGATGAAGGAAGGGTATATTAAATGATAGCAGTGCCAGTCACAATCTTATATCTTCTTCCTTAGTATCCACTCTACGATTACCACCCGATCGTATAGAAAGATTTGTAGTTCTATTAGGAGCGGACGAAGATGGGAATCCCAAGAATGATGCCACAATGCTACGGTCTCATTACAAGGTTGTGAGGTAATAACCAATTAATTGTGTTTCCCTACGAGGGTGTAGATATTATTTTCGGTATAGCTTGGTTAGCCACGTTGGGCGATGTTCAAACAAATTTAGAAGCTTTTACTATGTCCTTTGAGTGGAAGGGCGGCCAAGTAATGCTGACGGGTGACCAAACCCCAACCCGAAAGACGTTTGATGGAGCCCGTGAAGAAGGAAAGCAAGAGAAAGATCAAAGCTGATTTTAGTTCTCATACTTCGACCTTAGGGACAAGGTTGATTTGAAGAGGGATGAAATGGATAGAAAGCAAAATTGAAAAGTGAATGAAGTTAAAATTAAAGAGAAAGCAGAGTCTCGGCTGATGCTTGTGTATTGACGACGGAGATGGGCTTAAGTCTGTTATTCGTCGGCATATATTTTATTTACTTGCTTTTCTATTAATATTATATTTTTAAGTTGGGCTTGCTCTTTAGTTATTTGGTGGACTTATTTTATCTTTAGTAAGTAGGGTTTAGGTAATAGTATTTGAAGAATAAACAAGGTTTGAGACTATAATTATGGAATTTTTGAAATAAAGTAGCCGTGAGACTTCGGGCAAATGGTTGGCTTTGTTGTGGGGCAAATGATTGATATCGTTTGATTTTCTTATCCTTTATTTTGTTTCTATAAAAATTTAGCCATATTATATACTTTACTAAAAAAAACTAGTATGGATAAACGGATTAATTGCAAATGTGTGACGTTTTCCTACCCTAAGTTGATATTAAGGTATTTTAGATTTCTTACCTACAATTCAATGTAAAAAACATTCTTTGGTGGTTATGACATTTTGCATGAATACTAGTTATTTGGTAATCATATTTCACCATTGAATCATCCATAACTTTGAATTGTTGTGTCACTTTTACAATTATTGACTTGACATTCATTACATCATCAACTTGCTCGTTTTGTCTTTCATTTCATTAAATTCTAAAACAAAATTATATAGTTAAATTTGTTATTCAAATGATAATATCGAAACTATCTATCATCTAATGAGATAAAGATATTGAATGCCAAGAAAGGAAGTAATTTAAATAAGTAGTAAATTAAGAAAAGCCAAGAAATATATCGTTACAACCCCGAGCACCCTTTTTGAAAAGAAATAATCAAGATTATTAGCACTTCTAGAGACATATTACAAAGAGACCAACCAGAATTTGGACTTTATGCATTAAATTTTTATAGGGTTAATGATCCTTGGATCCAACTGAGAATATTTTGAAGTTACACTCCACGCCCATTATAGAAAGGGGTCCTAATTCATCTTTATATAGGCGATCAAGAAATTGGGTGATGGTCAAGATTTCTGCATTATTTAAGTTGGCAATCCCAATGTTCTATAGAGAACTAAAAGCATGTGCCTATGATGTTCTCTCATACAAGCAAGCATAAACGGGCTTCTCAATGTTCAATCCGTCCGTGTTTATCTTACACTATTCCAAGAGTCAGAACCCTTTAATCACCTTCACTCGGTCCTTTTCATTATGCGATTTGAACACTTTTGTGCATCCTCGAAAAAATATTCTTTTTTATCGGATTTTGCACTATTCTTGGGATATCGGATTTACTGCTATGGGGATCGCAATGGGTGATGCCTAAGTGGCTACTATATTATTTTTTACTCGGATTTTGTACTCTTCTTGTGATATCAGATTTCTGCTATGGGGATTGCTATGGATGATTCCAAAGTGGCTACTAATGGGATTGACGTACCCAACTTCTCTTATCAAAGTTCACTTATGGTTTTGCTTATCTCATCGACATTTTATCTATCATTCACTATCACAACTCCGATCACCAATTGTATGTATGGATTGTAAGACGTTTACCTATATGATTGAGGCTGCAGTTGCCTTTTTAGACATCAAGTGTTATCTTACCAACGTGCCACTTCTTGTCCTCTCGAACTTCTCTACCCGTTTTGAGATATGTTGTAACGCCTCAAATGTTGGCATTGGCATTGTCTTGACACGGTTGGTCGTCTGATGGCCTACTTTAGAGAAAAACTCCCATGTGTGTTCTTGCTAGAAACATTATGATGTTGAATTTTACACAATTGTTTGCGCCACTCGACATCAAAGGCATTTCCTCTTCTGGCGGGGGTTTATTCTTTACGCCATTCATAAAGCCCGGAAACATCATACCTCCCAAGACACTCTTTCGGCTAGTTATGCCAAATGATCAACATTTTTACATCAATTCACTTTTATTATTTGATTTTACTCTAATTTTAAGAACTGAGTAGCCAATCGGTTGAGCCGCCACCATTTATTGCTATCAAAGTTGCACGTGGGTGTGATCCATTTTGACTCATTTCATTAACTCTATTCTTTTGAGAGATTTTGTTTACATGGCTTACCTTTATCTAATGTCATGATTGTGATTCTCTCCTCATTGGACATGTTTTGCGAAATTCACAGCACTTGGCAAACACTGACTTGAAATTGAGTAACGGTTGCCATCATTAAATAGAAGGCAGAACATAAGTTGATAACCGCTCTCTTAGGAACTTAGTATGTTGTTTGGTGGTGACCATATTAAATCATGCTACCTTAGTAAGGTATGGTTGAATTTGCACACAATTACGCGGTATCTAGAGAATTCACCACTCTTTCCAAGAAGCTATTGATGCCCATTGTAAAGGAACTAACGATATTTATTTAAGGAAAAAAGTATTATATAGGAAACCGTAATAAGAGTGACAATAGAAAGTTATAGTTAAGGATATAATGGAAGTACAAAACACTAACTCGGAGATAGAAGAGAAAAAAAGGCATAAGGTTTAAGACCTGAAAATTGTAAGAGACTAAGAAATGGAAGAGTAAATTTTGATTGGAATAAATTATTAGAAGGAATAGTCATTTCTTCAAGAATCACAATTTCCTTTTTCTTTCTCTTGAGGAAGGACTAGCTTCATGCTGGAAGAATGTCGATTCGATGGACCCACTGAGCTACTCATTGGCCACGAGGCAATATTATGACACAACTGAAGCACTATTTGGAGCGTGCTCAACATCGCATGCTGCAAATAGCAAACGTGCATGGCCGCGAGCTCACCTTTCAGGTTGGTGACTTGGTATTCTTGAAAGTTTGGCCCTATCGACAAGGCAACTTGGGCCCAAGCACCCATCATAAGCTGATGCCCAGATTTTTAGGACCATTCTGTGTCATTTGCTATGTGGGAATGGTCGCATATAAGATGGATTTTCCGGCCCCTAGCCGTGTCCATCCCATGTTTCATGATCTCAACTTCGTCGAGTGTTAGCCGTCACCCAATCAAACTTCATTTACTCGGCAGCCTAGAGGTCGAGTAGTTGCCAATTTATGATCCTGAAGCTGTTTTGACGATTGATCAAACGTGCAAGAACTATGGTTCCTCAAGTCCTTGTCCAGTGGCGCGGTTTTCATCCAGATGATATGACTTGGCTTGATTAGGAGGAACTTTGCGCTCAATTCCCAGGCTCTTACCCTGAGGACAGGGTTATTCTTAAGAGAGATGCAATTGATAATGGGTGGGCACAACCGAAAGTTCACTCACAAAAAGAGATTAAAAAGCAAGTGCACCTTGGGGTAATCATCGATGAACTGAATAACTAGAGCTCATTATTAAGTTTCCTAAGTTTTTTCCATTTTTTTAAAATTACTTCTTATTTCCTTATTTATTTATTCTTAATAAATTGTTAGGTTAGTTGGGACAAAGCCCTTAGTAGTTTTGACCAAGTATATAAGGATTATTTTGAGACATTAATAGTCATTTTGATGTCTCTTTAGTTTCACGGCTTCGGCTTTATTCGGGAAGAGCAGTTCTTCCTTAGTTATAGTTTAGTTCTTTGATTTTCTTATGTACTCTGTGTTATCAATGAGTTAATATAATGGTCCTTAAATGGTCCTGAAACATAGCAAGCTGCAGAAATGGATTGACAGATGAAATATAAATCGATACGCAATGTCACTAATGAAAAATTAAAAAGATCAAGGAAAGGGTTACAACTGTTTTTATATTTCTGGAATACAAATTGGAACAGCTCTGCATTGTTCATCCAATAAATACAATAGGTTGTTTTCACTAAGGAGATAAAGCTATGGTAACTTATATGTACTATCTTTGGTGCCACCACTTTCAACAAGCACTTTCAGGTTATATGTACTAAGATAAAATGATTTTCAACCTTCTTTCTAGAGGATTCAAAATCTTGTAATTTTTATAGCCTTTTGGCAGCGCACTTGACTTTCCTGATCCACATTCCACAATATTTATTTATTAAGTACAGAATATATCTTTCATGCTTAGACAAAGAAATTCCGGTTACAAGGAGAACCAAATTTCATTGTTTGTGAATTAACATATATCAAGCTAACAAATTTATACCTAACCTAAAGCAATGTATTATTTATATTTATTTCAAAAGGAAGGATTATATTATATAAAGTAGAAGATAGCAAAATACAGCTCAAGGAATCACAGGGACTCTACAGAGGGAAACACATAGACCTGACTGGTATGTAAAACAAAACTAGGGCCTGGAAGTTTAGAAAGAACTGAACAATTGGACTGACTGAAAGTTAAATGAACCTTTTCTCATTAGATCGGCTGGTCAAGAGCCACATGGAATATAGAAATTCAGGTTCCTAGGAATGTCGTAGGAGTCATTCATCTAGTCCCAAGGGGGATTAGTCTTTCTGGTGGGTATCCTAATTTCTCTGAAAAACTGAGACTACTGAAAGTTATAATGCTAGGAAATGACTTGACTTTTTTTCAGGTTTTTTCAACCATATACCTTTTTCCCGAATTAACAAGTTATATAGTACTCAATTGAGAAACAAGACCAGGAAAGTAAGAAAACCAGTTCTCAATAGGATGGCAGCCGAACCAAGAGCTCTTCCAGTTTGTTTTGAAAAGGATTCATGATTCATGATTCATGATTTCTATTTACTTCATCCCCTGTGAGTGTCTCTCCTCTTTAGCCAGGAAAGATACTGGCAGAATTTTCACATTCTATTCTTAGTAGCACTACCACAGATAAATATATTCACTGTTTCCATAAAATCCTGCCGTGTAATTGGTTACACTATTTCACTACTACTATTAGACATTCCCATTTCCAGCCCAAATGGCGCTGGACACACGCTCGCACACACACACACACACAAAAAAAAAGAAAAAAAAGAAGAGAAAGAGTGAGAGACCTGTATACCCAATAGGGGTCTCTGTATCCGAACACTTCTGGAACCAGATAACCACATTTGACACAAATAAATCAGAAGTACAGCATAAATGCCACCAGGAAAAAAAAGGCAAGCAGTTGATATAGTTATAGAATTTGCATTTATAACTCATCCTACATAAATATATTATCTAATTTGCATCTCTCGTTGAGAGAAAACATATGAAGTAGACATTTTGCAAGGGTATCAGTCTCCATCTCTACTTCAAAAACCATTTCATTTCTTGGTAAGCTCAAAAGCTAGATCTAAATAAATAATGGTACTCCTGCATATTCCAGTAGGAAAAGGAACAGCATACAGCTTACCAGACCTTATGTAATATATACATCCTAGGCGACCATGTCTGAACACAAATAATTCCAGAAATAAATACGCGGCGTTTTTTGTAGCTTTCTCGTAAGATTTTTACTATTCCTATCTTAAGTGTATGAGTGTAAGTCAATTAAAGATATCGACATCACTTGAAACTTTTACCATTTATGTTCATCCTTCGTTGGGAGAGTGATTACCCACTTCCTTGCTTTGTTTACACATTCCATTGAACAAGACAAAATCATTACTCCATTATTTTTATGGTAACTATATGAACATATTGTCATATTCAATGCTCAGCTCCCATAAGGTAATACTATTACCGCTTAGATATAATTTGCAGTTCTAATTTCCAAAGAGATATTCACCTGGATATCTTTTTCATTGGTTTCCACTTAAGCCTACTTCACATCTTATGCATATGAATCATAATCACAAGATCTATATCATTTTTTCCTAAGCTACTTTGCAGAAGAAAAAACTTAATACAAAGAAACCTCGGGTTTGTTTGATTGTCTGTGTGTCTTGTGTTTTTAACTTGTTTTTAACCAATCAATCTCTTAATTTCCTTCCAAAAACACCACATCCAAAATTCAAAACATTGCATCCAACCCACACTTCCAACTCCAAAAAAAAAAAAAAAAAAAAATCAGATTCCAAAACAAACATTTCTTGTTCCAAACCTACTCATCAAAGAATAGGGAATGAAGAACACAAACCTCAATAATTATAGAAGTAAAGATGCTCGAAATGAGAGGCTGGCTTTCGCAGATCTGAGAAAGTAAACCAACAGAGGACACAAATGAAAGGGCGGCTATGTGTTCGATGGAGTCTTTAGGGAAAAAGAAATATATGTGACAGCTGTGACACAATTAAGAATCCTAACTGTATATATATATATATATAATTTATATTTAGTAACAATGTATATATATATCTTTTATATAGTAACAAAAACTTTACTAGGTAAGCATTAAATGCATATATTCAAAATGTTTCCTGAAAAGCTTATTTCGCTATTTAAAAGTGTCTACTATAAAAATGCGCTTACATGAGAAAAGTGAAGATGTGTTTCTATTTCGTCATTTACAGTTGTCTCACACATTTTTCTATAGAAAATTATTTGAGTTACTATTTATTTAGCCTAAACATGCGTTAAATGTGTCATCCAGCTGCACACATAATTCTAGAATACTAGATGCTTGACAAGTGTAATAATATATTCTTATGCATTATGAGCATATATTAGAAGAGCAAAGGCTTGAATTATTTCTTAAAGCAAAAAGATGATATTTTGAAAAGGAATACGATAAGATTGATATCCATCTTACAAAAAATTAGATCCAGAAATAATTCTTTATTTTAAAAAAAAAAAAAGGAAAAGAAGAAGAAGCAGTTGATGTGCCACAATTAAGATCCACAAAAAGTTCGTGTAAACTAGTTTCTGTAATCTAAGGATAACCTCAGGACACCTAGCAGGGAAAAAAGAAAATTACAAAGCAAAGAATACCAAGATACAGAAGGAATGAAATACTCATACATACCTTAGCTTGCTGGCTCATGCTCGACAATGGCAAGAACAAAGACCAAAGAAGCCATTTAGTAAATTTAGGGAGAATACACGGCCCTCTGATGAATTGATGCAATTTATGCACAAAATACAAATATGGGCAAACGCCGAGGAGATTGAAATAACTACTTTTTCGAATTGCAAGTAAAAGATGACTGACCTTGCCAATGAGCATTATGGGAATCAAAATATCACATTCCAACAAAATGAATCTCCGAATTATTAAAGATGAACACATTAGGATAATTAGCAAAAGCAACATGTAAATGTAATTTCCTTATTACTCTCAAATAAAAATCAATGAATATGTGGGGAACATCCATAGTATCTCAAAATCCAACTCGGTGCATTTATTTCGAGTGCTAGTCTTATTCTCACTATAACTTTAAAAATTCTTCTTACGGATGAGCTTCAAAATAGATAGTAATCCAAAATATGTACCAATATGCAACTACCATTTTTTTGGACCATGCTAACTTCATAACATTATTCAAATCCATGGTAATCATGATTGGAAGAAGCTGGTCTTTCATGTAATGACCCTTCTTTCCTGATGATTGTTCTTTTACCCATTAACCTCCTCCTTTCCTTTCACGGCACACATATTTTCCAAAATATTGAAGAAAATTATAGTACATTGCTTTCCTTTTTCATATTCTGCAAACACTCAAAACTCAATCCAAAAATCTAAGAGCATAGTCCAGATCAGAAGTACACCGATTTGCAACACTTCAAAAAGTAACTAATTGTTAATACAATGAGTAAATTCTATGTAACTTTGACTGTTGTATCGAATTGTTCACATGCTTCTGTCCAAAATAATTCAATGATCTTGACATATCCCACAAATGTGTTCCTACTTGTAGAATTCATTAGCATTGATCTTCTATTAGTATGTTGAAACGAAGAGACTTTTCAATAGAAGATAAATATAATGATTGTGTAAGGTGGATTGATCATTATTGGTTTGTTCCCCGCCATTCATTAATTTGTCTTGGAATTTCCTCATCGATTAATACTACTACTAATGATCAAATAGGTTCAATTGAACTCAGTCCTTCAAATGCAGAATATATTTGCTCCGATCCATGTAGCTTAGTTGTCCACATATATATCATTGATGAGCTCACCAACCTTATTTCTTACTAGGTAAACAGGTGAATTTCTGATATTTAAATAAAGACCAAGAAGGATGTAATGGCTAAGAAACTTTGCACTCAAAACACTAGTTACAAGGAGCAACGCATAATAACTAAGTAAATGGTAATGTCTGAAATAATGTCATAATGTCCTGAGATAAAGAAATAAAACTGTTTGAGTGCTTATCTTCAAATTTCTTGAAAGCAGTAAATCCTGAGCCCACGGTAGTTTGACGTCCAATGCTCAACTAACATAACTGCACGCAGCATTAATTCAGAATGAATCAATAAAAAAACATCAAAGACGCAGGCGCATGTTTGTAGTAAAGGGTTTCAATGCCGCTAAACGAAATTCCGGGATGCAAACGTCTTAGCGTGCGAAATACCCTGTAAAGATGTCGAAATATATATCAGGGACGCATTAGAGAAAGAATTCCATAACATAGTAGACACGATCAAACAATTCTTAATATGTAGGCGAGGGGAGGGGAACATGAGCAGCCAGCTATTTTCTTCCAAGGAGAAGGAGATTCAAGTATGTTTAGCGGCGGAAATGGCGGTTCTCGATTGAGCAGCGGTGAAACGGGTGAAATCGTTCCGTTGTCGGCTGAATTTTGCTGCCCGTCAGCCTGCAGTCCCCCGTCGACGTCAGAATGGCGTACGACGACGACGACGACGACCTGTTCAAAGGCGCAATTTCAATTTCAGGCTGAGATTTGGGCTGTTCAATTTTGTGCTCGTGCGGGATAGGCTTGCAATTGCAATCTAAATGGGCTACTCTACTCTATTCTGCTCTAAATTATAGGGGTGAAATAAATTTGAATATTTAATAGAATTAAATTGTAATTTAAAATTTAATTTGTATATTTAAATTCATTTGAATTGGTATAATTAAAATTTAAACTAATTTTAAATTCAAAATATTGTATATATACATATACATATATATATATATACACATATATACACATATATACACAGAGATGTACTTTTGTATAGTATTTTAGTTTAAAATATACTCTCTTCGTCCATCTGTCTCTATTTTTTATCACATAATTTGTCTCTATTTTTTATTTTTTCACCGTCCCACGTAACTTGTTCTTTCTATTTTCAAAAATATAATTATATATTTTAATCACATTTTAAATTTTAAATTTTAAATTTTAAACTTTATAATTTTCTTAATTTTTATTAAACTATTTAGTTATCTTAATCTTAATCTATAATTATTTTTATTAAATTACAGTCCCTCATTCCCTTAACAATCTATCCATTTTTCTATTTTGGTTCGTCCCATAGTATCTATTTCATTTTTTAGTAATTGTACTATCTACCTAACATTACAAATACTCTTCCAATTACAATATATTACACAAGTGTCATTATCTTTATATCATACAATACTAATAGGGTTAATTTAGTTTTTTTACCTTTATTTCTACTTTATCCCAATATAATACTAATATTTCTAAAATTCCATGCAAAAAACAAATGGATATATAGATATTGGACGGAGGGAATAATTATTTTTAATAATACACTTTTTAATTACCTACTAATTATATTTTACCTAAATTCTTGTATCTACAGTAATAAGTTCAAAATACCTAGGACGGAGGAAGTATTTTTGTATGGGTACAAAAAATGTATAACGAATATAAAAAATAATATTTTATACTATTAAATATTAATTTTTTTGCTACTAATAAAATGATATATCATTACTGTCGAGAGATTTTCGATATTTAGATTTAGATTTGTTACATTTAGATTTAGATTTGGTCATATCCATTAGATTACGTTATATAGATTTGAGTCTATCGAGTCTGTTTTAGGTTGTCTATATATAAGCCCCTTATTTTGATTATCAATTAATGCAAACTTTAGAGTTTCCGTAAAATATTTTAACATGGTATCAGAGCTTTTTTTTTTTTTTTTTATAGACATAGCCTACTAAATTTCGTTGCTCCTGGTACATTCACACTACCACATAAGTGCTCATTTATCTCGAAAAATTGTCTCGGGAAAAAATTATGAGACAATCTTATGTCATGAAACCTTTGTTCGAGACAAATTAGTGTCTCAACTATGATTTGAGACATTACCGCGATGATTTCTCTCAATCATAATCTCAAAATTTGTTTCGTGACAATTTATTGTTGCATATTTGTCTTGAAACACCACTGAGAGTAAAAATTGTCTCAAAATAAATCACAAAAAATATTTCGAAAGCATGAATTAAAAACAAGTCACGATAAATATTCCGAGATCATAAATTGTCTCAAAATAAATCTAAAAAAATAGTTCGAAAGTAAAAATTATCTTAAAATAAGTAAAAAAATATTTTGAGATTTTGAATTATCTCAAAAGCAAGTCATGAAATATATTTCAAGAGAAGAAATTATCTTAAAATAAATAACATAAAATATTTTGAAAGTTTGAATTGTCTCGAAATAAATCGTAAAAAAATATTTCGAATATATGAATTATCCTTAAATAAGTCACTAAAATATTTATCTTTCAATCATTGTCAACGGAAGTATAATCAATAATTTTTATTAACATTATAATTATTTTTCAATTAAATCTATTTATCTATAATAAAAAAAATTAAATTAAAATATAATCAAAATAAAAACAAATATCTTATAATAAATATGAAAATATAAAAACTACAATAACTTTGACTAAAAAACTTTCCACTAATCTAATTTTTCACTCCACAATCATAATTCTCTTACCCACATTCACATTTACTCACTCACATTCACATTTACCTACCTATTTATTTTCACGAGTATAAATAGAACTTCACCTCTTTGGTTAAGTTTGCATTGTATTTGTTCATTAATTTGTATATAATCATTTGTTTAGATGTATTGTTTTTATTAATGTCTCCTTAAGTTGTTTAGATAGTTTTTTTAATTAGTTAGATAGGTATGTTTATCTTATTTGGATAGAAATTTATACAATTCTATCTGTAAGTTTTTTATTTTCTACTTCTAAAAGAATAGTTGCTGAAAACATATGACAATAATGTGTGATTTTCTTGTGCAAATAATGTTTGAATGCAGCTTTATATAATATAGCACTTGATTTAATGGAAAATTACGAGGAATCTGAACTTAGATCAGTTAATGAATTTCGAAAAAGAAAAAATTGGTCAAACTAGAAAGATGTGATCCAATCTGAATTGAATTCACTGACAAAACAAAAGGTTTTCGACTTATTGTACAAATACCTAAAGATGTTAAGCATGTTGGTTATAAATGGGTATTTGTTAAAAAATGAAATGAGAATAATGAAATTTTCAGATATAAAGCGAGGCTTGTTGTCCAAGGTTTTTCACAAAGACCTGAAATTGATTTTAATGAAACATATTCTCCAATAATTGATTGAATAACATTTCGATATCTTGTTAGTTTGGCAGTATGTGGAAATTTGGATATGCGTCTGATGAACGTTGTAGCTGTTTATTTATATGACTCATTGAATAATGATATTTATATAAAAATCTCTGACATATTCAGTATGCCTGAAGCATACAAAACAAAGCCAAATGAATGTTATTTTATTAAATTACAAAAGTATTTATATGGGCTCAAGCAATCTAATCGCATATGGTATAATCGTCTCAATGAATCATTATTGAAAGATGGATATGCCAATGTCTCAATTTCTCACAGTTGAGCACTTGTCTTTACTAATATCGCGCTCACGTCTATTGTGGTAACCAACATTGTTCTTAGGTGGTTGCTGGCCGCCTCTTCTGCCACATCAAATATGACAATCATTATTGCTTGATATTCGATAGGTGCTCCATTTTTTCCTATGACAAGCCAATCATTCCTCTTCAGTTAGTAAAAGTTTATCTTTTATTGTTGTGGTTGGTGTCGCCAGATGTGAGAGACATCAATTATCATCATCTTTTAGATGACCGGTGACTTCCTTGATAGACAAGATGGAAAGGTCAAGGATCTATATGGTGTAGACGACATGGCTGAACCTAGGTGGGGTGACGTGGAGGTATTTCTCAACAACCATTTGCTCGTTGATGGGCTCGCCATACTTCTCAAGTTGTCCAACCAAATTGCTCAAGCAAAGTGCAAAATCTTCCGGATCTTTGTCTTCCTTAAATACAATCATCTTATATTCAGCACGTAGTTTCTGCAACTTCGCCTTTGTATACATGAGAAATGCATTCCATACTCGACCCAAACAAATAGATTAATTAGTCTTGTATGGTTGGTTTGCTTTTAGTATATATTGTTTTAGTAGTGTAGGTTTAATTTCTAATCGGGCCAACTTCTTTTATTTGGTATTTTTGTACATAGTACCCTCAGTTTCTCATTGATATATACAAATTGGAGATTTTATTTTAATTTCTACATAAAAAAAGAAAAAGTGATAAAAATAAAATATACTTATTCCGGACATTAAAATTAGTCTATTTGGGTCCAGCACAGAGATTAAAAAAAATGAATATTTTGTTGAAAATGTGATAAAAGTAAAAATATAATTGTTGGTATTTTTGAAAATTTAATTAAAAATTAAAATAAATGAAGAGAGAAAATATAATAAAGATAGTAGTAGTATTTGTTGTATATAAATGTTGAATGAAATATAATAATTAATGTTGATTTGTTAATTTTGTCAATATTAGTAATTGAATAAATTCAGCAGACAGACTAAAAAGAAAAATGATAATAAATTTTTTGGATCAATTAAGCAATATATTCCTAAAAGATAATTTAGAATTTTGAGAAAAAAAAATTGAATATATATAATAAATAAATAAATAAAAACTATATTAAATTATAGATGTATCATGATAATATCACAATCGAATTTTATTCCTCCATCCTAAGCCAAAAGTACACTTTTTACTAATTTTCGTTTATCCCACTCTAAAATATCTATTTACTATTTTAGTAAAACGTAATTATACATTAATATCAAAATACTTTTAATTTTTACCAAAATTATAAACATTTCATTACACGTACAATTATTTTATACATAAAATCAAAAGACAAAAATGTTAAAATCTCTTACACACTTCCATTAAATAATAAAATATTATTATTTCTTAATTTATTATAAACCTCAAATGCCCATTTGGAATAAGCTGGAGGGAGTAATATTTTGTTATATATTAGAAGAAAAAATTATAAACTTAATTATACTTCCTCGGTCCGGCTAAAAGAGTTATATTTATCTTTATTTTTCTCCGTTGATATTTGAATATTAATTAATATGTCAAAATGTAATACAAATAAAAAATAATAATAATAACAATATTTCTATCAGTATCTTATAATACAAATATAATAACATTTGTATAAAAAATATACAAATATAAACATATTTTTAATGTTAAATACATTAACGCAAAAGCTAATTAAATGTAATATTTTCAGCCAAACATAAGGACTATAATTTATAATAAAATTATAGAGGATATCTTTTATAATAATTTTTTTTATCATATTAATTAAATAAAATAAACATAATATTTATAATTTTATTAATATTTTATCAAACAAAATAAATATTACATTAATTAATTTATTGATTGTATAATTTATTAAAATATTTTTAATTGCAGCTAAAGTTTGTTCTTTTATAATTTTTAATTGAAATCAAATTTATTCATTTGATACGATTTTTAATAAAAATATACTCCCTCTGTTCCAAAAGAATTGTCTTATTTTTCCATTTTCGTTCGTCCCAAAAGAATTGTCTTGTTTCC